CGTTACATTTTTCTCCTTACTTCCTATATTCTCCACCACTAATTTTCGCTGTTTCTCTTCCTGCCTCGTTCTGCTTACCTTTCCCGCTCTTTCCGAGCCATCGGTATCCCTACCCGCCATAACCTCACTTCCCCTGTCCTCTTAATCTTTCTCTATCTCACGTTTTTCCTCCTCCCTACCTTTGCCTTTATCTCCTCCGCTTCTCCGTCTTTTCTCCTCTCCGAATCCTACCCACACTTACTTTCTCTTCTCCTTAATCTCTAAATATCTTATTCTACACTACGCACTCGCTCACGCTGCACACGCTCTCATTCACGCCACTTAACCAAGTCCCACATTATACTTATAATATTACATTAATGTATTTACAGATATAAAACTACCTTCGTCTTTTGATAACGTCGTCCAAAAAAGTTAACTGAGAATAAAATGGAAATTTACGGCAATTAGAAGCCGCACTTCCACTTTTAGACTGATTTTCCATTTCTTTTTTTCATGATTATACTGTTCTCTTAATGAAGTACATCTTTTTTGGCAATAATCTGGTGTATAAAAATCACCTGTAATATATAAGTTTAATAATAAATTAATAAAAACAAGTGCAATAATTAAAAATAAGTTAGAAAAATTCTAATAAAAAGTTACCACAATTTGTTTCAATCATTGTTTTAGATATTTCGTTCCAAGCATTTTGTTTCATTAATGTATCCTTAAAATTTTGATTCTGTTTGTCATATAGAAATGGTCGTTCTCTGTATAAAGCAATTAGAAACTCATCACCACTTTTTTCGTTAAAAATCAGATTTTCTGATTCATTGGAAAAACTTAATTCGATATTTTGTGAAATATCAGTATCACTCGTACCGCAATAATTCTGATGATCCGACATTTTATATAAATTTTCAACAGCAGTCTAAAAAACATTATAATTAATTTAAATTAATATTAAAATTAAGCAGACAAAAGATTTTTTAAGTAATCTTATACAAATGAGAATAAAGAAATATTGTAGTTAACCTAACATAAAAAAAGGTTATCATTACTTATTTAACCAAAACTACAAACACATAAATGGATCAATACGACAGATTTTATCAAAATCTTATTTACTTTCACGGCAATTAAACTGGATTATTCTTCAGTTGTTTGAAATAATTAAATTATTTTCTTCTCGCTATAACCGCTGTGTAAGCCGATTCGCGTAGCGTCGCATTAATTCTGCTGCTACGCCATACGTCAAACCTTGTGCGTTGTTTTACGTCTACGACTTACGTCTAGTCATAAGCATTACACCATGCTTGTGCTATGGCCCTAAACACGCGCGCCGAGCGTGTTACGTGAGGGCAATCCCCTCTCCGCAGCCCTCGCCAAAGCCCATCGGCGGGGGTACATAACATGGTGGAAAGATTACATGGTGTGCTCAAAACTTCGAAACCATGCCCCTTTTTCGCGTCGAGGTACCGTTCAGTACCTAGGCCTGCCAACTGTGAAAAATTAAATGTTTGATGCTGCTAAGTTACCACGACTGATTTGAATGCGTCTTTGTCACACTTTACTATATGTGCATTGTGTTCTTTTCTCGGTAAAAATTCACAGTAGGAGCACGTGTTCGAGTTATTAAACAGGTTAGGAGTAACGCGGGTCAATATAAGGATACCTGGGGGATTCCGCTCTAGACCGTTGTACGGGACGGACCAGCCCCCTGACACTCGTAGTTCCTAGTGGTTACTTAATGTCCGCGTGGCGCTGGCAACATTAGGTCCGGCCATATATATATGTATATAATATCTATCCTTGTTTGACATACGGTGCACGAAGAAGCAAATATAAAATATCACGAATATCACCAATACCGATACGGCCGTTATTTTCATATCGCATATATAGCACAATGCAACATTTTTACATAGTAAAATAAAAAGAAAGGAAAATATATACAAAGTACACGCATTTTTATATAAAATTTATTTTAATTAGTATAATTATATTATCTTTTAATATTATTTAAGTCTTGTAAAACTTCGCATTTTTTTTAACTTGTTGATTTAAATGTTTTTTTTCTGTGTTTATTTTATGAGCATATTGTCTCATACGTAAAAGAATATAAAATTCGATGATTTGTGCTAATATCTTATCATTGCTGTCTCTTATA